CTAACTTTTTGAAAAGAAGGTCTGAAAGAAACCCCAAGATATAAATATTAGAAAAGAGTGAATGAAAATGAAAGCTTGAGGCATTGAATTCCTTTCTTTATGTAAAAGTGGAGAATATATCTTCTCTAACTTTTTTGCAAACCAAAGTAGGAATGTCAGAGTCTCCATATATTCTAGATTGCCCATCATATTTCCTGGGTAGTGCAAACGGAAAGCAAAACTTAAAGTAATTGCAATAAAATAAAACCCCACGAGCTTTGATTTTTTTTTTTTATTGTTCTTATAACTGAATATAAGATTGGTTTTATGGCAAAAAAATGAAGTCTGTAATGTAAGCATCGTTTATCTTCCATGACAAGATAGGACATAATTGCCCTATATTTGGCTTGATGTGAATGGAACAAAAATTGTATTTTTTTTTTTTTTATGTAGAAGACGTAAATACCTTCTTCATTATTGAAAATACTCTTGTCCCATCCAATGCAGTCCAATTGTGTCATGTCTTTTCGTGTCTGTGTATGAATCCTATAATGAATACTAATAACATCATTCCCCTTTGTATGGGTACTTTTGGTCGCTCTTGTATGGTAAGGGATCCAAGGATTTTTATTTTTCTTACATTGTAGAATATTTTATTAAGCCGTCCCTGTCTGGCACCCCTAAAAACTACACAAAAGAATCAAATACATTGTGGCTTGCGCCCTACTTTTTAAGATTTTGTTTTCCCTTTTCCCTCTCTTTTCATGATCTCTTTCTTTCCATTTTTCTTCAAATTCTATTGATGATCATGTATGTGTGTGCATTGATATAGTTTAGAGCAAAACATGATAATTTGTACTATGTTTGATAGGACTGAAGAGGATGCCAATAAGACAAAAGTTGTACCTTAGCACTTAAAAATATAGAATAAGATGAGACAAAAGTTGTACTTTAACACTTAAAAATGTAGAATTGGTCGTAACTTAAAAGTATCTAAGCAATTCGGCAATATCAATAAAACATATCTCTTGTGTTCTTCCGTGGACATAGCCGATCACTATCACTTTGATTGTGTGAATAGCGTAGATATAGTGTTGTTTTTTTTTTTTGAAAGAGTTTTTTTTTTTTTTTTTTTTTTTTTTTTTTTTTTTTTTACTTTGTATGTGAAATCGTTAATCATTTATCTTTCCTCATCCTATCATTGAAAATAGTTACCGAAAGCTTGTCCGGTCTGAGTTCAATCCTAACAAAACCAGCTACATGGCAAAGTGGCAGAGTCTTGTGGTACTTACTTCATACTCATGCAAAAATGAATTCATACGTATGTACTATGGATTGCTTTCTGAGATGTCAACATTTAATTTTGGGTTTTGAGTGCACTAGATAATTAGTAATCACATTCAAATGAAGGATAAACATGTCTTCTCATCGAACACATGTGAGCATATCAAGACAGCTAAATTAATAACCTAAAAGCTACTGATTATAATATTATCCTACATTCATAGCCTTTAATCTAATAGAATAATAGCTAAACTAGTTGAATATATAATAATTAACTACTACGCATGGTCTTGAGCCAAACTTATTTCTTCAACTTGAGGTCTTTCTAAGCGAGTGTCTGGTATGGCCTGAGCATTGGGATGAGGGCGCCACTCAGGTGCAGGGACATGACCTCGTTGGTGGACCCAATGAGTTTCCCTCCGACGAATACAGCTGGAACGGGAGGGGAGTTACGTCCTTGGGTTAGCAGAGCCTGCTCGATCTCCCACCCATCTGGTTCATGGTCCATCTCGTGAACCAAAGGCTCAACCCCAAGTTCTTGGAACAGAATAGTCACAGCATAGCACAAACAACAGGTGCTCTTGCTAAATATCACAACTCCATTCTCTGATGTCAATGTTTGAATCTTGTCCATCTTAATTCGATTTGGTAATATAATAGAAGGAAACTAGCTAGGAGAAGGGTTGAGGAGGAAGATACAGTTTGAAGTACTCGTCCTACTTCTATTTATATAAAACAGGTAATGTTGGACTCGTTTTCTTGAAACAAGAACATTCAAATTAGGTGCTTTTCTTAGATGCTTGAAAACTACTAAAGGTACCTTTCAAAGATGGATACTTTTTTTTTTTTTTTTTTTTTTTTTTTTTTTTTTTTTTTTTCCTTTCCACACACCAAGGAACAAGTTGAACACATATTCTTTATCCCATTTGCATAAACCTGTATCTTAAACATACTATGATCGATTTTCTTTGAATCACGATCAAGCAACAAAACTACTGATGTTTTTGTCAAGACTATCTTCGAGGTGATGTGTGCCAGATCAATGACCATGCACTTCCTCAAAGACACGGTTTATGTTGCCAAGACAGTTAAAGTGTGAAAGATTCCTACTCGATCAATGAAGGCTTACTTCCTAGGTAGGATGTTCATCTGTATAGATCGATTTATTCTATGTTTTTACATGCTTTAGTATAGTTGGACTAAGATGTTGTTCAAAACCTTTATACTTATGTTGGTAAAAACATGATTGGTCTAGTTTCCGAGCGTTATTACTCTTTTGCGTCTGCGATTACTAAACAGATGTCTGTGCATAATTTTTTGATCATTAATACAATTTAACAGAGGCATCAAATTCCTTTCTCAAAAACTTAAATGTTTGGTCGACGTGTGAAAGCTAAGGACCATGAGTTCGATTCCTGCAGATTCTTTGAACCTCACAACTTAGCCACAGAAGTCCACTAGAAAAACGGAAAGATTCTAACACTAGTCACTTAGTTCAACCAGATTCCTTCTATCACCCTAACTATATTCTCAGGCTAGAAACGATTAGAATTTAATTGCTTTCGGCGGGTTATGATTCTTGATAACATGCCCACCCACTCGCCATACATTCTTTAACACCTATCAATCTTGTATGCGTGAGAGTTTATCCATATATTGTGCCTCCATCATGCATTTTGAAAACATAAAAAATTTCCGTGAATCTTAATTTTATGAGCGGATCTGATACACACACTGAAGGTAGTTGACATGCCTATATACAAAAACAGTATCAGGCTTCAGGATCACAGGATGTATGTATGCTACTGTATGTGCTGATAACACCTACCTTTAAACGTCCATTTAGTGCAAGGTTTCAATTGTATTCTTATCGAACTGGTTCTTACATAATTAATAAAGGGAACTTTTCTTTGATTTATTGAGTTTTTCACAAACCCTAATCTACTAATTAACTCAAAGTGAGGCCTAAATGTTGGCTGATTTTTGTCAAACTTCTAACATAGTTTTTTTTGGATACAAGACAACATTTAAATATAGACATAAAGGCCCAGTGGGCTATTGTAGTTGTCTTAGACTCAACCATAATATTTATTGGAGAGCAGTGACTTTGACTCTAAATTCCCAACAAGCTAAATTATTTTTTCTTAATTCAAATCATTATGCTTTCAAGATCAAGTTATTATTTTTTACAACTGCAAATTAATTTCTTCTACAGAGCTCCGGGCATGTTCTACTAGTCAAGATCATCTGAGCTCTTTTTTATGCTTGAAAAAAATGGTTGAACTTCTCCTTGATAAGATGAGAAAGTATGATAATCAAACTTGCATAAAATACTCGATTCTTAAATTTGTTTTCTCTCCAGGAACCAAGAACTCAAGGAACTCGATTCATAAATTTGTTCCAATCATTTGAGTTTTTCCTATACAACACTTGAGGTTGAAATTTTATTTGTTAAGTTGTGAAGTCTTATTCACCACTTGGCCATGTAGCCCCACAATTGTTTTTTTCTTCCTTGGGCTAGTTCCTATATCATATTCGCTATTAGATTTACTTATGGACCAGATTTTCAGATTGTTTCGGGCTTGGCCTTATTGGGCATTTGAGGTCAAATAAAAATCGTGTAACCTAAGTTAGGCTTACACAAAAAAACCGGTTTACAATCCGAACCGAAAACCGGTTTACCCTTGAACCGGTCCACTGTTGAACCGATCCGATGTCGAACTTAACCGCCGGTTTGTAGTAATTCGGATTTCTAGTCATTCGAACCGGTTTATGCCGAACCGGTCTAGAAAACCGGTTTTGAACTGATTTTGTACCGGTCTTGAATCGGTTATGAACCAGTCTTACAAATTAACCATGCATATATTAGCTATGATATCCTAAGAAACAAAGCAAACATTGTAAAAAGAAGCAATTTCGTCCGATTTATTTTAAAATGGTTCACCGAACCCGTTTATGGTGAACCGATTTGAGGTGAACCGGTTTGTACTGAACCGAACCGGTTTGTATAGGTCCGAATTATTTTTGTGGTGAACCAGTTTGAAACCGAACCAGTTTAGGGGTGAACCGGTTTTGACTTCGTTGATTAGAACCGAACCGGTTTTTTGAACCGGTCCGGTTCAACAAAAAAACGGGTTTGTGCATCCCTAACCTAAGGTATCAAAAAGCCATTCAGCATTATCGATAAAACCTCTCTCTTGTGTTCTCTCGTGGACGTAGCCTCTCATCTCGTTAAAATCTGTCTTATTTTTCGTTTTGCGTTACTACTCTTTTTGAGAAATCGTTTATCAATTAACTTGTTGAAGTTCTTAAACTTTAACGCCTTGTTCCCGAGTTTTTTGTAAATTCATTAAAGGAAAAGGAGGGAAAATATTAACGGAAGGAAAGGGAGGGGAAGGAAAATTTTATTTAATCCGTGTTCCCGAGTTCGAAGGAAATGAAAGTAAAATTTTTAGTTTATGTGTTCCCGAGTTAGGAGGGAAAAGAGAAGAAAATAAAAAGATTACAATTATACCCCTATTTACACATTATGTTAAGAACATGTAAACAATATGAATAAACTACAACTGCAAATCAAAATCAATCAAAAACATTTAATCAAACTATCAACTAATGAAATAAACTCAATTCAACAATGAATACCCAGAAAATCAAAATTCCCCCTCTTACAAATGAAGTCCAATGCAACCTACTGTAAAAAAACAAAAAACAAATCCCATAAAACCTAAAGATATGATTCAATTTTTAGCTTCACACATCATCTTTCTTAAAAATATCTTCCTCATCCTCATTGAAGAACTAAAAATTGTCCTAGCATCGGCTTGATTACGTGATAAATATATGAAAGCATCCGCAAATTCATCGTCATCCAAACCCATCAACTCTAACTCTTTCTCGATTTCCTCACCTGTATAGTCACGAGATTTGTTCCCTTCCCTCATAACATCAACGATTTCTTTAAATGTTTGCACAATATTGTGTTCAAAAGATTCTGGTTGAGGTTGAGGTTTAGGTTCAGTTTCAACTACTACTTCATCTTCATCTTGAAATTTGCTTTCTAGTTTTCTTTTTTTACTCTTCAGCTTCTTTGCTTTTGAACTTCCCATCAGGTGAAACATCTGTTACTGACACTATTTGAATGTCCTCATCATCATCTTTGTGTTCGTTCTCCAAACTTACCTCCTTATTTGTCATTAGTTTATCCACATCAGCAATTTTTCTATTTTAATTTCTTGGATTTGCTTAACGGGCATTTTTTTCTTTTGCTGTTTCCGCTTTTGATCCCGATGCTCTATCATCTGAAAATAACATCTTCAACTGATTGTAGTTTGAAATTTTTTTGGTCCTAAATGCAGCTGCTTCAGGGTTTGCCTGTTTATAAACAAACCAAAAAATTAATTAGTAAAGTTAATGGTAAAAAAGTTATATAAAACAATGAATCAAACGTAAAACCAACACATACTTTAATTAATTGCTCCCATACTTCATCCTCTGCTTCAATGTGTTTTGTTTGAGAATTCCATGAGAACCCACTCAACGAAGTACCCCGATACATATCATACCATTTACTAAAATTACCTTTTAAAGTTTTCATTCTGTTTTTAAGTTGATCTTTTGTAATAGACTTGTTAAACTCTTTACTCAACCCTGCAATCATGTTCGCATATGCTTGCGAAGTGAATGTACCATTCACCCGATTACCTATATCATCTTCCTTTACAAGAGCTTCAACTAGAGCATTGTCCATATTATCTGTCCATGTCAAATTTTCTTTTTTCACAACACTTCCATCCGCTGCCCTTTTGTTCATGATTGCTCTGTACATACAAAGATAAGATAACCAGAAATACATTATTAAAAATTGTACAAATATTTATAAAAAAGAAAGGGCTCATAATTTAAATAACACCATCAAAAAAAAGAAATTGCAAATGTCACTACAAAATTAAACTAAATTAACAGAATGAAATAAAACTGATAAATCGTTAATCTACTATAAAACTAATTAGACATATCTATTTCATTGTTTGGTTTCAACAAGTAATCATTCCACATTTGAGTTGTAATAGCGTTCCTCAATTCCTCAGCCCCATCACTACGCACACGTCCGTTATTAACATCATGTCTCACTTGTTGTGGTTGTTCATCCAACACCTCTTGTAAGACTTCATGTTCAAGTTTTTTATCACGATCCTCGTCTAGTAAAAAATTGTGTAAGATACAACATGCCACAAAAATGTCTGATTGTGTTTCGCAAGAGTAAAAAGGTTCTTGTGAACTTCTAACGATTGGAACCTTCTTTTTAAAACACCAAACGACCGTTCTATTGCGTTACGTAAAGAAGCATGTCTAAGATTGAACAACTCTTTTGCATTAACTGGGGGTGAGCAGAATACTCTTTCAAATGATACCTGACACTCTATATGGTGTCATTAGTTCAATGGTATGAGGCAAACCAGCATCTACCAAACAATATCGGCCTATAAATAACATGTAATTAGTTTTCTAATAAAAGACTACACACAAAATTAAATTAGTTAACAAAAATTACCCCTAGGAATTAGTAGCTTATCGTCTCTTTTAAGTGCATCTTTCACTATCCTTGAGTCGAGGCAGTGCCCTCCCACCAGTTAAAACGTACGTAAACTTCAAATCAAATGAACATGCGGCTAAGACATTTATGGTAGGGTAACCTTGCGACCACGATATCTAGGGGCATCTCTATTGGGTACTTTTACACGAACATGTGTCCCGTCAATTGCCCCTACACAATTCTTG